TTTTTTTTTTAAAGAGATTTTTGCTAAAGGGCACACATGCTCGCTAGAGAGACAGAGACATAAAGTGAGAAATCGCCTCCCAGGAGAGATGGCCACATCGCAGTCCCTCCTCCTCCATTCTCCTCTTGGGATTTTGGGCACACACGCACATGCGCCTGGCATGAATTCTAAGTTGCCAAGTCTGGGACTCAAACCATGGCCCACTCGGTGGGAGTCCAGTGCTGTAACCATCACGCCATCTGCTGGTCCTGAGAAAAAGTACACTTGACAGTGTCTCATGGCGCACTGCTCCCTAGCCCTCAGTTCATCAAGATCTCAGACGCAGGCGCTCCCAGTGTGTTTTCAGGTCAGCTCAGCATCTGAAGCTCAGTTGGCTGCATGGCTCCAGCATTGCAGGTCAGCGTGCCACTGCCTGCACCTGAGGCTGGGCCTGGATTAGCATTTTCTACCGAGCTCAGTGGGAATGATTCTTCTGCTAGTCTTCTTGGGGCCACTCATATAGTGAGTCTTGTCATGGGTGGTTCACTTGAGGCTGGCTGGCCCCAATGGTCTTGCCTACTTGGCTGGTGGTGCTGGCTTTTGTCTGGGTCTCTCTCTCTCTCTCTGTCTGTCTCTCTGTCTCATCTCTCGTCTTCAGGGAGTCTAGGCTGGGCTTCATCACATGGTGACCTCAGGGTTTCCAGACCACGAGAGCAGACACTGCAGTGCATCTTGGTGTCAGGACCCCAACTTTCACCATCCTTTCCACTTCGTTCTATTGGTCAAAGCAAGTCACAGGCCAGCTTAGGTGTAAGGTGTGGGAAACATTCCTCCACCTGTGGATGGGATGGAGAAAGTCACATTGTAGAAGCTGTTTGTGCAGTGCTGTGGAAAATTACTGCAGCCCTATTTGTGAGCAATCCATCATACGTGATACGGGCCAGGGCAGAGGATATTTAGGTAAAATGGCCTAGTGGTAAATTGAACCTTTGAAATTAAAGAGTCATTTGTTTCATGAAAAAACTGGAAAGGAAGACCCCAAGCACCCCAATATCCAAACAGCAAAGACTCCATCGTCTGAGGTTCGAAAAGGTATATATGGATAGTTTTTAAATAGAAAAATGACTTTTTGATGTAACTGGTAGGTAGGCATACAATTCTCTTAATTAAAATGTAAAACTTGAAAGGTATTATTTAGGGGAGATGGCTAAGGGAAAAATAAAAGCCTTCTTGTACCCTTGGGTATCATGTGCATGGATTTTGGAAGCCAGATAATTTGCTACAGAAGAAGAAAAACAAATATAAAAATGTGCAGAAGGGAGAATTCTAAAATGTGAATTTCAGAAATGGCTATGAACTTTGGGGTGAAGGTCAGTTGGATACACGTCTTTATGGGGTAGTCACTGAACGTGATTAGTATTGCCTAAACTTTTATTACAAATCAACGCGTTTCCCATCTGGATAAAGACTGCCCCCCACCCCCCACCCCCCTTAGGAAGTAGAACTGGGGAGGATTCTGGGAAGGTGGCAAGGGAAAGTAGCTCAGCCCTGCCCCTCTCCCGTCTCTGTCTGCCTCTTCTGACCCAAACCACTGCCGGAGTTTGATGACCCCTGAGCGATACCCCGAGCTTTGTGGAAGTTGAAGATGGGGAGTGTGGAGCAGATGGGAGCTTTCTTCCTGGGCCGGACAGTGAGGAAGACTGCTTCTAATGAGCCCCAGGAGAGGATCCGAATGCACTGGATACTGCAGTGAACTTGACCTGCAGAGATCGGGGGACACCAAGGAGGAAAATTCCACGAGACCGAGGAGAAAATGAACAGTTGGGTTGAGTCCATCCTGTCTCTGAGTCTGTGGAGCGGAAAGTCTTCCCTTCTGTTGCCCTGGCAGGGCCCTGGCAGCCCGCCTACCATGACAGTGCTTGGTCACAGGAGTGGAGCCCACTCAACTTCCACCACTCCACCCTGCAGGTCCTCCTGAATGTCAGTGATGTAACCAGGAGAAGCGAGGGCACTGCCAGAGGGAGTGCGTCTAAGAGGACAGACAATGTGTGCGTAGTGCGATCGAGCGGCAGCTGGGGACAGAGGACACTCCGACCAAAAAATAGGAAGAGCACATAAGGAGATTTAAATGAGTACGAAAAGATTTTCTAGAAGGCAGTGCCTGGTGTTCTAACCAGACATTTCAGCGAATGAATCGAAGGAGGTGATTATTCTTCATTCTTGAACTGGTAGCCTTGTTGGTCCAGGGGAAGCATCTGGGTGCACAGAACAAAAATATAAAGGGGTGGAAATCATGAGCGAAAATAGATCCAGGAAATATAACATGTGAGTAACAGGAGAGCCAGGAGGAGGATAAAGAACAGATGGCAGAAAGGCAGTAATTAAATAAATATAAGAAACACATTTTCTGAGCTTAAAAATCAAGACTTGAATCTGTAAATTCAAACGGTTCAAGTTCCAGACAAGATTTAGGAGAAAAAAAAAAAAAAAAAAAGACACCTCTGCACACACCAGAAAAGTTCTTGAACTCTTAAGATTAAGGAGCAACAAGACCAGCAGATGGCGTAATGGCTAAGTCACTGGACTTCCAAATGGTTGACCACAGTTCGAGTCCTGGACCTGACTGCTTGAAACTCACACCAGGTGCATGTGTATGGGTGCCGAAAATCCTGAGTGGAAACTGGAAGAGAAGGGATTGCAGTGTGGCCATCTGCCCTGGGGGATGATTTCTCACTTTCTGTCTCTCTGGCAAGTACATGCACTCTACAACAAAAACCTCTCTTAAAAAAAAAAATGAAGAGTTCCTATTGGCCTTGGATTATTGAGTCATCAGGAAAGTTATGACTCATTTTTACATAGAAAAATACATCATGGAGAAATGTTGGGAACCAGCAGTTAGTGTAATGGCTATGTCGCTGGACTCCCACGTAGTCGACCGTGGTTTGCGTCCCAGACCCAGTGACTTAAAACTCACGCCGGGTACGTGTGCATGCGTGCCCAAGATCCCGAGAGGAGAATGGAGGAGAAGGGATTGCGGCATGGCCATCCCCCCTGGGGGGTGAATTCTCGTTTTCTGTCTCTATGTCTCTCTCTGTCTGTCTGGCGAGCGTACGTGCCCTATAGTGAAATTTTTTAAAAAAAAAAAAGAAATGTTCACATATTCACATATTGAAATGTTCACTTCGTAAGCTAAATAATGTGATTGAATGTATATGAAAAATAAAAAAATAAATAAATAATGAGTAAGTTTTAAAATAAAAAAAAATACATCATGACTTTCCTGATGATCTAATCGTTTGTTCAACTATTTATTTATAGATTTCGTAGTATCAAGTAGATACTCTATCTAAAATTGAGATAAATGCTCCAGGTCAAGTCTAGCATGGTAACTGTATTAGAGTACTTTGGGTTGTAAGTAACAGAAATCCAAGTGAAAACCTAGCTTGAGGGACCAGCAGTTGGCACAATGGCTATGTCGCTGGACTCCCATGTAGTCGACCGTGGTTCGTGTCCCAGACCTGGTGGCTTAAACTCACACCGGGCACATGTGTGTGCGTGCCCAAGATCCTGAGAGGAGAATAGAGGAGAAGGGATTGCGGCGTGGCCATCCCCCCGGGGGATGATTTCTCGCTTTCTATCTCTCTGTCTCTCTCTGTCTGTCTGGTGAGCGCACTCACCCTATAGCAAAAACCTCTCAAAAAACCAAAAACAAAACCAAAAACCAAACCTAGCTTGGGTATAATAGGGGACTGATTTGGTCGTGGGAGCCTGGTGAGGTATACTTCAAACACTCCCTGTTCTCATCAGGGAGGATTCCAGACATGCTCATCCTAGACCTTCCATTCACTTTAGTATTGCCTTATAGTGATACCTGGCTATCGAGGTGATAGATGACTGACTGACATTTCAATTTTGTGAACAAATTAATGGAATTATAGATCACAAAGAAAAAATGAACTTCATCCAAAATATCCATGGGCAGAAAACACGATAGATTTTGTATCTAGAAAAAAATTTGTAGCGCTAAAAATAGCCTAAATATTGAGTCATAGATTACCTCCTTCCCTTCCTCATCCCTCCTTCCCTCCTCCCCTCCTTCCCTCCTCCCCTCCTTCCCGCTCCCCTCTTCCCTTCCTTCTCCCCCCTGCTTCCCTCTGTACCGACACAGCACTGACAGCATCCAGGAGATGGAATAGCACACCGTGACGCCCTCAGGCCCACCCAGCCACCCAGCCCTTGCATGGAGCTGGCCTGCCCTGTCCCTCTTGCTCCTCAGAAGCATCTAGGCTAATTGCTTCCTGGCTTTTCTTTCTTTATAAATTTTAATTTCTTTTATTCTTTCAATTGCTACACATGGCTGCAGCTTGTAAAGTGGATTGACCCAGTTGGGTACACTTCACGCCAGTCCAGTTGAAGATACCATACATATTGTCAACCTCCCTTTCTGTGTCCCATAAATGTCTTGCCTCTCTGTTTTTCTCTTTGATTCCTTTCCTCACCTTCTCCCCCTCCTCCCACCCTCTTCCCTCACTGTCTCTAGTATCCATGACCATTTTCCATGCTTCGATATCCTCTAATCTTTTATTTTCTGTCATAGAGTGTGGACTCTGGCTTTTTCCCCCCTAGTTTTGCCACCTGAGTGTGCCCCCCGGAGCACTGCTTCAGACTTCCTGTAAATGGGCTCACTCAGGAGCACTCCCTGGGTCTGGCTCAATGAACAACTTCCATGCTGTTTTCTGCCATTCCAGGAATTTGCACCAACGCTGGCTAGTTTCCAGGGATGCAGCCAGGGCTCAAGGCCGTCGGTTGGTGCCACCTGGAAGAGACTTTCTTAGAGGCAAACCCTGATGGAGTCGTCAAGCTGCGGGTGTGGTGCTAACACTGCCCTTGGAATCTGAGTAGGTATCTTTTTGATTGATACTTGAACAGTTTTGAAGACGTTAAACTGTTTTATTTATTTATTTTTTTGAGAGAGATTTTTGCTATAGGGCATGTACACTCGCTGGAGAGACAGAGAGATGGTAAGTGAGCAATCACCCCCTAGGGGGATGGCCGTGTCGCAATCCCTTCTCTTCCTTTCTCCTCTCGAGATTTTGGGCATGCACACACATGTGCCCAGTGTGATTTTTAAGCCCTGGGTCTGGGGCTCGAACTGCAGTTGGCCATGTGGCAGTCCAGTGCCTTAATCATCATGCCACCTGCTGGTGTACTTACATGTAGCTGAAATTCCACGTAGCTGTGCTTAGTTATGCCCTGTAGATACTTTGCTCTGTCTTTCCCGGTGTCTTTATGTGGGTGTTTATGTACGTCTTTCCCCTTTCACACGACCCCACAGAGCTCAGTCCTTTTGATGGCAGTGTGGACAGTCATGCTGTTCATGCCACTGTTACCCCTGCGTGGGGACACCGTGATGTGGACACTCAGGTGGGTCTCCGGTCTGTGCGTGGCTAGCTGGGGCTCTTGTAAGAGCTCTGTGTTTGTGGGGTGGATGGGAAGTGTCCAAGAAGCAGGTCACCAATGAGCTGCCCAGGGCCGGAGACCGCCATGACAGCAGCCAGGACTGGGAGTGTGACCGGGGTAGGACGCCTCGTCCCTTGGCTGTCGTCCTGACGATGGTCATCCCACAGGAAAAAGCGTCAGCTTTGGGGGATTGTGGGCAAGGCATGGTCACATTTTATGAGGACATGGGCATATGTGTCCCCAGCAGGAGCAGAATCAGTACTGAGGAGCCTATAGGGACGTGGAAGGAAAGGGGATAGAGGAATTGATCTTTGCGTGTCTAGGTCATGATCTTCCATGTGACATTGGATACACAGACATCGGTCCAGGGTAGCAGTTGTGAGAGTAGGCATTCGTGTACAGTAAGCTATTTAGACGAATGCTCCTGGGACCAGCGGGTAGCCTGGTTTGAGTCCAGATCTGGCTGTTTGCTTTCTCATGTTTTTCTCCCTCTCTGTCTCTCTCTAGTGAGCACATGTGCCCTGTAGCAACTTAATAATAATAATAACAACAAATAAAGTTAAATGTTTTTTGGCTTATCACCAGGACTTCACTTTGTTCCCAGGTGGACATCTTCCACTCATATCCATTATACAATACACTGTGTAAACTAGGATAGCAACTTAAAGATTAGCTAAAATTGGGACCAGCAGATGACGTGGTGGTTAAGGCACTGGACACTTCCACGTGGCTGACCACGGTTCAAGTCCTGGACCCGGTGGCTTGCTTTCTCACTTTCCCTCTCTCTCTCTTTCTCTCTGGTCAAGTTAAAAATAAATGAATAAATAAATAAAAATAAAAAGAAAAGATTAGCTAAAATTACAAGTAAAAAGGAAAATAATCATGTATTCACAAGTCAACTATTCATGATTCTTAAAATTACCCGCATTTGGGTATCTTCTGCCTTGTCTCTATTAATGCAGGATGATCCATAACAATTTTTTTTTTAGGTGTTTGCCATAGGGCACATATACTTGCCTGAGAGAGACAGAGACACAGAGAGGGAAAGTAAGAAAGGAACTGCATGGGGGGGTATGGCCATGCTGCAATCCCTTCTTCTCTGTTCTCTTGGGATTTTGAACATGATACACATGTGTCTGGCATGATTTTTAAGTCGCTGGGTCTAGAACTCAAACCACGGTCAGCCATGTGGGTGGGAGTCCAGCGCTTTAACTGTCATGCCACCTGCTGACCCCACCATACCAAACTTGAAACTTGCGCGGGATTGCACTTTGCTTCTGTTCTGACAGCTTTCTGCTATTCTTACTTGGTGATGTGCTTGGAATACATTTTTTATTTTGATGTTTTTAATTGCCAGAGGGCATGCGCACTTGCCAGAGAGACCGAGGGAGAGAAAGCCCTCCCCAGTGGGACCAGCTTCCTGCTACAATCCCTTTCCCCTCCATTTCTCCATCTGTTGGGATTCGGGGCACGTACACACATACACGCAGGCTGTTTTTAAGCTGCCGGTCTGGGGTTTGAACCAGGTGAGCTATGTGGTACCTGGCTCTTGATGGGACAGGGCTTAACCCTTTGTGCTGCAGGGCTGGTCCTAAATGCATTTTCTGTATTTTTTCCAAGCAAAACATGATCTAAGACAGATGACTTCCAAAAAATATTACATAGGTTAAAGTTAAATCAAACGATGTGGAGATTCCCCATATTGCTGTCCCCTTCTGTCCCCTTACTGACCACGTGCTGGAAATCAACATGAAGCCATGTGTCCAAAGCTGGTGGTGGCCACTTACTACCGGTAGTAGTAAGGACTATGGGTCGCATTACACGTTCTGTTTACTACAGGAAGCGAGATTACGTGAGACCAGGTGGGTGAGCAGGTGGACGTCGAAGTATTTCTTGGGAGCGGTGCTTGAGTGATTCCTCACGTCTGGAGATCGAAGCGCATGTGCGTTACCTTCATTCACCTCTCTCAGAAATGGGACTCGACTTGTCTATAAGGCTTATGTCAGATAGTGTATGCCTCGTTCTCGAGTGAACATATGCATGACTATGGTTTTCAACCTTGGCATTGAAATAAAAAAGTTTGAAATCGAATAGGCCAACAACAAAAGCTTTTATGTAACCGATTTCTTTACACTGAGAAGGTGAGAACAGTCTGTTCTACTTAAATATGCCCTCATCTCTATCAAAGAACGCTCTGAAAATATACTTTTAACATTTTTTTTCTTAAGATTTCCTTCTTTTTTTTTTTTTCCCTGAGAACTATTTAGGGCATTTAGACAACTGGTATTTACATCGATGAGACTCGGAGTTAGTGAACTATTTCGGATACGTATTTCATTCTGTTTTCGAGGAGACCAGAATTTGTTACAACGTTCACAGTAGAAATCTTGGGGGTCTAGACCAGCCCATGTAATACTCTGGAGTTTACCTCTAGAGTCTCCCAGACACCCATCCGGAGTCTGAATTCTTTTGTCACGATCATATTCATGGGCCAGAACAGCCTGGGTGCTAACACCTTCCTGTCCTGGGACAGAAATGTGTGAAAAGATAAAGGGGATGGAATCTTTTAAGTCTATTACTGTAATCCTTGAAGCTCAGAAAATTCCATAAAGCACTTTTCGAAACACTTTTTCAATGAACTTTTCACCGTATTAGACTTTTTTTTTTTCTTTCCAGACCCTTCGTGTGGCCTTTTGAAATGTGCGTTTGAGAGAGAGCGTTCTGTTCAGAAGCTGGAAATGCTCGGAGGATTTCTGGTTTCTCTCACCACGCTGCCAGCCTTCGTGCCTCGCCCCCTGACCTGGCTGTTGTGATGTTCGGAGGGATGCGGTAACCCAAGCGGGTCCTCCTCTGGCAGAAGGTTGAACCCTCAACTCAAGATGGCCAGTCAACCCCCCGAAGACCCCGCGGAGTCTCAGGTCTCGGACGAGCTGGAGTGCAAGATCTGCTACAACCGCTACAACCTGAAGCAGAGGAAACCCAAAGTGCTGGAGTGCTGTCACAGGGTGTGTGCCAAATGCCTCTACAAGATCATAGACTTCGGGGACTCCCCACAGGGTGTCATCGTCTGTCCCTTCTGCAGGTTCGAGACCTGCCTGCCGGACGAGGAGGTGAGCAGCCTGCCCGATGATAACAACATCCTGGTCAACTTGACTTGCGGCGGCAAAGGGAAGAAGTGCCTGCCCGAGAACCCCACGGAGCTGCTGCTGACCCCCAAGAGGCTGGCCTCGCTCGTCAGCCCCTCACACACGTCCTCCAACTGCCTGGTCATAACCATCATGGAGGTGCAGAGGGAGAGCTCCCCGTCGCTGAGCTCCACCCCGGTGGTGGAGTTCTACCGGCCCGCGAGCTTCGACTCAGTCACCACCGTGTCGCACAACTGGACGGTGTGGAACTGTACCTCGCTGCTCTTCCAGACCTCCATCCGGGTGTTGGTGTGGTTGCTGGGCTTGTTGTACTTCAGCTCCCTCCCCTTGGGGATCTACCTGCTGGTGTCTAAGAAGGTCACCCTGGGGGTTGTCTTCGTCAGCCTCGTCCCGTCGAGCCTTGTTATTCTCATGGTGTACGGTTTTTGCCAGTGCGTTTGTCACGAGTTTCTAGACTGTATGGCACCGTCTTCCTAATCGATATGCAAAATAGGAAACCTGGCACGCATTGCCACGCTCGAAGTCCTGCAGGTCACTTAGGGTTTATTTCCTTTTATGTTCTTTCTGCCGAGCGTCCGCGACATGAACAAAGCCATTGGCCGTATGTTCGTGGCCTGTTTTCCATCAGCATTGGTTGGTTTTCCTGTCCGCTGGAAGTATGTCCTTTTCTCCTTAGAGCTCAGTGAGGAAGCAAGACTGTCAGCTCTGCTTTTGTGGGGTGCTGGCAGAGTCTTCCCAGGAAAGGGCGGGGTTCCGCTGGCACTGCAGAGGCACTGGGTGTGGTGTGCCGTGGGGAGGTGGAGGTCTTGGGGAAAGTGGGGGGCACTGGATCCCTTGTTCCTGATCATGGGGAGTCTCCGATGCAGGTGGTCTCAGAGGAAGGCCACTTGAAGACACCTTGGTTGGCAGTGTGCACCCTCTCCCCTGGAACTCTCAGTGTTGGGACCCCTCACCCACCCTCAGATGTTTTCTTCCTTAAATTAACCTGACTCTCTGTGGCCTCTGCTCCTGTGGAGATGCCTGTTCCCTCTGTCCTTTTCCCTCACCACGAGGGGACACAGCCTCATTCCCTTGGGTGGTTTCAATGCTGTACCTGGCTTGCCACGTTACTAAAGAGAATGAAAACACTGAGGAAATTGCATCAGAGTAAACTTGATGGCCAAATACGGCCATTTGTCTTCGAGATCCACTTTTTCCTCCATTTTCTTTTCCTCTCTCCTCAGGCTTCTCTGAGAAGAACTGAGGAGAATGAGTTTGAAGAGAATGAACTCTTCATAGAACAGTTATTCATGGAGCCCTTCCTTTGAGTCTTTCCTTGAACCATTACATTTTTTTAAGTTTTTGCAATAGGGTGTGTGCACTCACAGAAGAGAGACAGAGAGAGGGAAAGTGAGAACTCACCCCTTGGGGTGATGGCCATGCTGTAGTCCCTTCTCCTCCATTCTCCTCATGAGATTTTGGGCATGCATGCCCATGTGTCCAGCTTGATTTTCAAGCTGCCCATTTTGGGACTCGAACTGCAGTCGGCCATGTGGGAGTCCAGCGCCTTAACCACTATGCCGCTTTCTGGCCCCTATTAGTTTTTTTTTTTTTTTTTTTTAACTACATTGCCCAATCAGCCCTACCTTTTATCCTGAACAAGTTTCCCTCTACATCAGTTCCTGCAAATTTATGAGGATTTATTTATTTTTTCCCATTGCGTTTTATGTTCTACGAGAATCTATTTAGCTTGATCCTATAACGGTGTGGGGTGAACTGTGGCAGCGAAAACCCATTAGCAACTAAGGAGATCCTCTAGCTCCCAGTTTGAAGTGCTGAGAACCTATTTGCTGTGCTGAGCTGGACCAGAACAGAATGGTTTAGGCTTCTGTGCACGACTGGGTTGTGGTGGTCCAGGCGAGTGACTGGCAGAGACACGTTGCTGTCCCTGGCATCTTTTTTCCATTTTGGAGTGGATTCAAATTCTTAGGTGGTTTGTTTCAAAGAAAAGCATACACTCTGTGACCTGAGTTAATGAACTTCTTTACAGAACGTAAGGGAAGTTGAATGTATATATTTATAAGAAGAAATTGCTTAGCAGATTCTAGGTTTGGGGAATAGAATGTTCCCAGAACTAGGCAAAAAGGAAAATAAAAAGGGCTTTTTGACTTCTAAACCCCATTATTGATGACTAACATTCAAATGTCTGTAACTGTTAGACAAGGGCATTACTAAGACTACTTTAACTTGTTTGTGATGAAACATTTCTTGCCATAAGGTTTTAGTGGGCCAATTCCAATCTCTTTCTCTGGGTAAAATTGACACGCATCCAGAATAGCAGTTTGATTTTAGTCGTATTGCTCTTAACCTTGAGAATATGAATGCCCAAGGTAGGTAAGAGAGAGGATCTGTGGGATGCGGTCCAGTGAATCGAAGCCCCAAGATAGAGCTAAATACATTTATGATTTCGGAAAATCTAGTTTAGATAGCATTGTGAATGCAATGTCCAGAAACCCGTTTGTACTTCAAGTAAATACAATGTTTTAGAAGATGTTTTGTGGCTTAGATTTATATATTTATAAGGTTTTAAAAATGTTCATTTTGTCTGGAATGTAATATTGAATACATTGGTGAGTTACGAAGCAACATTTCTAGAAAGCTTTGGATATGGGTATATGTATTTTGCTTATTCATATGATGTCTCCAGTGCTAAGTTTGTGTCCTGTGTGTTGAGCAGTCTTTTTCCCTTAGTTGCCAGTAAGTTAATTTGGTTTAAAAGAGTTTTAAATGTATGACAACAAAAAACTTCATGCTGTCGAGTGAGAAAAGGACAATGCTTTCATATTTTATTCACTGTGATAATGTTGTGTTTGTCTATTAAATTGTTGTTGTTTCCAAACTAGAAGTTTGATTTCTCTGGCTCATGGTTGGCATTCAGTTATTTGGACCTCCGTTAAGTTTAGATAACTACAACATGAACTTTCAGAAACACTGATTAAGCTAATGCCTTTATCCTGCGCACGAAGATTTCAGAACTTTTCCAGGAAACTGATTTGATCCACTGAGCTTCTAAAAGGCCTTTCTTTCTTTCTTTCTTTTTTTTTTTTTTAAAGCAGGAAGAAAAATTAGGGAAGGCGAAATAAAAATACTGTCTTTATAAATAAATGTTTTGGTTTTAAATTTGTTTGATTTGATTTTTAGGTTTTGCCTCGCTCCTCAACAAAACAGTTTAGTTGGGGAATCATGTACCTTCTGTGGTCTAGAGACATTTACAAATATTATCTGGTGTTTAATGACCATTATTAGTCCAGGTAGAAATAATTAGGAATATGTAGTGGTTCCGTGGTAATGACAATTAGTGAATTGGCACTGTATGTAAACTAAGAGTAAGGGTTTCATTCACTTGCAAAATCTTTACACAGATAAGGAGCGAGTCAGGTTAAAGAAAGCAGTTATCTGTGCTAGTTTTAAGAGTGTGAACTCCTGCTTTTCTGCTAAGAGACCTGAACCCACGAGCATTGGCTGGTTGTAAGCAGTTGGTCAACTTCAGAGATATCCGTGTCAACCTATAAAGGAAGGCCGAGGCAAAGTGAGAAGAGCCAAAGAGTTTATTTGGACCAAACTGAAGATGATCGTCTGGATGTTGAGATATTTGAGTTGCCCTGAATATTGTATGCCAAGGTCTTATATATTCCAGGATGATTTTAAATTGTTGTTGTTTCCAAACTAGAAGTTTGATTTCTCTGGCTCATGGTTGGCATTCAGTTATTTGGACCTCCGTTAAGTTTAGATAACTACAACATGAACTTTCAGAAACACTGATTAAGCTAATGCCTTTATCCTGCGCACGAAGATTTCAGAACTTTTCCAGGAAACTGATTTGATCCACTGAGCTTCTAAAAGGCCTTTCTTTCTTTCTTTTTTTTTTTTTTTTTTAAAGCAGGAAGAAAAATTAGGGAAGGCGAAATAAAAATACTGTCTTTATAAATAAATGTTTTGGTTTTAAATTTGTTTGATTTGATTTTTAGGTTTTGCCTCGCTCCTCAACAAAACAGTTTAGTTGGGGAATCATGTACCTTCTGTGGTCTAGAGACATTTACAAATATTATCTGGTGTTTAATGACCATTATTAGTCCAGGTAGAAATAATTAGGAATATGTAGTGGTTCCGTGGTAATGACAATTAGTGAATTGGCACTGTATGTAAACTAAGAGTAAGGGTTTCATTCACTTGCAAAATCTTTACACAGATAAGGAGCGAGTCAGGTTAAAGAAAGCAGTTATCTGTGCTAGTTTTAAGAGTGTGAACTCCTGCTTTTCTGCTAAGAGACCTGAACCCACGAGCATTGGCTGGTTGTAAGCAGTTGGTCAACTTCAGAGATATCCGTGTCAACCTATAAAGGAAGGCCGAGGCAAAGTGAGAAGAGCCAAAGAGTTTATTTGGACCAAACTGAAGATGATCGTCTGGATGTTGAGATATTTGAGTTGCCCTGAATATTGTATGCCAAGGTCTTATATATTCCAGGATGATTTTAAAGGCAGAAAGTGACACATGGGGCGGGGAATTAATTCAAGTCTTACATCTGTCAAGAGCTACGACCGAGTCTTGTACAGCAATGGTTGGTTAAATTCTGTGCAAGAGGACCAGGACGATCTCGATCATTCGAGTTCAGTGTGGAAATCGGTAGGGCACATTGTCGTAACTACTCATCTGTGAGGGAGGCATTTATTTAGGCAATAAGGGTGTCCATAGCTGAAAAAAGTCCAGAGAGTATTGATGGCATCTTGAACTGCTTCAGGTACCTTATCTCAGAGGTCCAGCACTCAGAGTGTACACTCCCAGGGCAGTCATCTGCATGCCAGAGTTCAGCTTCCTTATTAGCCTCGTGGCCCCATTTTGAAACAGAATGCTTTAACTTTTCCATTTCCCACCGTGAAGTTATTTATTTTATTTTTAAAGAGAGATTTTTTGCTATGGGATGCATACACTTGCTGGAGAGACAGAGAGTCAGAAAGTGAGAAACCCCCCCCCCCCCCACAGGGGGATGGCCATGCCACAATCCCTTCTCTTCCATTCACCTCTAAGGATTTTGGGCATGTACGCACATGCACCTGTATGAGTTTTAAGCTGCTGGGTCCAGGACTTGAACCATGGTTGACTATATAGGAGTCCAGTGACATAACCATTATGATATCTGCTGGCCCCATAAACAGCTTTCTTAATAAAGCAACCAGGTAGACCCAAAGACAAAGGAATCCTGGTATTGATAGGCAGACAGAGCTGGTATACATTTGGGCTCTGTGACGACTGGGGTGCCAATGAGGCGGGCCGAGTTGACATGACAGAGTAATATAGGAAAACTCGGATTCTACTTGTTTCAGCATGTTTTTGAGACTGACTCTTTTTGTATACTCTTCTTGGTTAAAAAACAAATACTTAGGGCCAGATGGTGGCATAGTGTAGAGTATGATGCTCTGTAAGTCATTCTCACAGAGATCCCAGTGGTCCAGAGACCTCCCTGCATATGTGGATAGATGCTTACCTATGATTTGGGGCTGGCTGAAGACTGGGATGGATTGTGGTGTCAAGACCCTGTTATGAGCATTTCTCGCTCGCCTTGTCTCTTTCTCACTCATGAAGAAATAAATAAATTTAAAAAAAGACAACACACCAGAAAAAGACTGAAGACTAAAAAAAGACTTGATGGTTTTGAAAACTGCAGAAATACCACATATTATTGAAGACCTTCACTCAAAGCCAATGAGAGTCTTGGTTAAAGATACGACCCCTCAAAGTTCACCCAACCATCTGGTGTTTGAGCTTTTATGCTTTCTGCATCTTTGTTCCTTTGTTAGATGTTCACCTTGTACTTCGGTACCTTTTAGGAATTTTTCCTCCTCTATGAGAAACTGTAGGGTCGGTCTTTAAAAGTTTACTTTTGTGTAAAAGAGATTATAAAACTAATGCAGAGCCAGTTCTGTGGTGCAGCAGTAACATGCTCCCCAAGAGAAGCGGGGTCCCACCAGCAACCACAGTTCTAATCCCTAGACGGATGAGCCTGAAACACCATGGGCATGAGTGTGAGTGCCCGCCGCCTAGCAGGCTGGAGGGCTGGAGGAAGGGGGTGGTGATGTGACCGCAGCCTGTAAGGTGCTCCCCCTTCCTCACTCTCACTTGTGTACACAAAGTGCTTTATCCTAAAGACAGATGCAGATAACTAAATATTAAAATTTGAGCAAATTCCAGGTGAGCCTGGAGACAATATGGATTCAACCCAGTTCCTTCTGTCATTTAATTCTGTGATCTAATACAAGTGTAGGTATCTCCAGTGTGTAGATATTTATGGTTCTGACATGAAGGTTCTTAATG